TGTCAGTGAGAGGAATTGTGCACCTTCGTTGGTGTCATCAGGCCCCATTGTTGATGTCATTGGAAGGAATTGTGCCCCATCATTTGTGTCCTTGGGCCCCATTGTTGGTATCATTGGGAAGAATTGTGCCCCATCATTGGTGTCATTGGGAGGGATTGTGCCCCATCGTTGGTGTCATTGGGAGGAATTGTATCCCATCATTGGTGTCATTTAGAGGAATTGTGCCCCAATTAATGGGGCCTAATGACACCAATGATGGAGCACAAGTCCTCCCAATGACTCCAACAATGGGGCCTAATGACACAAATGATAGTACAAAATTCATCCCAATGACACCAACAATGGGGCATTGTTAACTCCCACTGGACCTTTTTTTTTACTCCAATTTTCCACAGTTAATTTTGAAAGGGCAGTAAACTGGCCCTTTGTCTAGAAAGTTTAAAGACCCCTGGTTTAGAGAATCTTTGGTAGTCAGCTTAAATATAGTCAAAGATCCTTCTCATCATTGGTGTCATTGGGCCCCATTGTTGGTATCATTGGGATGAATTGTGCACCATCATTGTTGTCATTAGGCCCCATTGTTGGAGTCATTGAGAGGAGTTGTGTCTCATCATTGGTGTTATTAGGCCCCATTATTGGTGTAATTGGGAAGAATTGTGCCCCGTCATTGGTGTCATTGTGAGCAATTGTTCCTCATCATTGGTGTCATTGTGAGGAATTGTGCCCCATCACTGGTGTCATTAGGAAGAATCGTGTGTCCCATCGTTGGTAACCTTATGCCACATTGTTGGTGTCATTGGGAGGAATTGTGCCCCATCATTGGTGTCATTGGGCCCCATCGTTGATGTCATTTGGAGGAATTGTACCTCATTATTGGAGTCATTGTGCCCCATCCTTGGTGTTGTTGGACAAGGATTTGTACCCCATCCTTGGTGTCAGTGAATGGAATATTACCCTAAGTGCCCGATAAAAGCAAGAAAAGAGCCACATCTGGCCCCGGGGCCACAGTTTGGAGTCCGCTGCTTTAACTACTGAAATAATCTTTTGAAGTGACTTTGTCTTCAACTGTACTACTGCCATATCAAACCATAATGACATAAATGAGCACATTCTCTGTTGCACAACAGTAGAAAGACACTAAAACTTCTTTGTTATCTGTGTCTTTTTCAAGATTTGTAAAAACTACAGTAGTTTCTGTGCTTTTTTTAATTAATAATGCTGTGTTCATCTTCTAAGTAGCATCATCTGAGAAATGGATGCCAAGATATTTAAAGGAATAAACCCTCTCCATAGGCTCGCCAATATTTAAAAGTGACTGAATTGGGTGCCATCTATTCCTCTTTTAACTCCACAATAAGTTTTTTGTCTTCTTTATATTAAGCTCCTAATTATTTGAGGCAGATCATTGTACAACATTCCTAGCCTTCTATTAGTTCACACATGCATGGTAATAATGATCGCCAGGTGAAGCTGGTGCTTTATTCCACAGCGCACAAACAGCTAGATGTCTGTCTCTAACCTAAAGAATTTCTATGGGTTTTGCCAAACACACCTGTATCTTTCCAAACATTTAGTAATTGTCCCTTCATACAGTCAGGGGATTCTGCTGCCACATTAGGGGCCCATTGTCCTGGGATCTGGTTAAGCCAGTTTATCAGAACTGCTCACTATACCTGTCTGCTGGCTTCCAAAATGTATTACAACCTTGACCAGACACAAAGTGTGTGCCTGTTGGGGTTAGTAGGTCTCCTCACACAAAAGAAAGATTTGGAGGAGGTCATTGTGCCACCTCTAATGAGAGCCTCAGCTGTCAGCGTGCACTCAGCTACTAGGCGTCCTTACAGGAACCACACTGGACCTGGGATTCAGTAATGATTTGCAGTTCTACATCATTGTCTATTTGTTCTCTGCAGAGTCTTTTTTACTCCTATAAGGAGTACTTGCAGTATGTGAGCAGGGAGGTGACACTTTCCTCCCTTTTTTTCCATGTGCGAGAATCAGTTATCTGTTACACAATGAGTTGTGAAGGACAAATCCCAAAAGGAGTGCTAGTCCTGAGGGTTTCATGTGTAGTGCTACCCCCCAAAAAGCAGCCGCTTGGTAATTTGTATTTTCTGTTCAGTGCCTCAACTCCAAGAACAACCCCAGCCCCTGGTTGAATGGAAGTCACTGCAAGCACTTATAACTACATGAGTATAGATAGAAGTCAGAGATAAACAGTGCATATAAGCATTAACTGCAATGTGAATAATAATACTATACCTAGTGTAGAGAGTATACTTTAGGAGAATGACTAAGATCTGATGCAATGTTCCCTGAGAGATACCTCTTAGCGTAAGCAATGGGAGAAGGTCTCTGTGTAACTGCTGTAAAGGGGCAGTTGTTAGTCCTAAATCTTCAGCCGGCTAGTGTTGGGGCCCACTTGTACTGTTGGTGCACATGAGAATAGTCCCAATCAAGCCTGCAGGCAGCATTAAGGTTACTAGATGGCTGTGTAGTAAGTTCCTACAAGGCTCAGTCTCTCTAGAAGCAAACAGTAAATCCCCACAGCAGCAGCTCACCCACAGCAAATAATCCACTATGCTCTGCACCTAGGTGACTCTGTCGGCACCCCAAAACTCAGCACTGCAGATCCCATTCAGGCTGCTGATATGCAGCAGTAATGGTGCACACTGGACAGTGATGTGCACTCTTTGGTCTACCTCATGGCAAGAGGAAGCTGTGTTCTGCACAGCCCAAGAAAATGCAGCTCTTCCCCCTCTCCCCAGCAATCTCTCTCTTAGGAATGTAGTTCAAAAGATCTTGATTACACAGTAGAGTCTCTCCTCAGGACTACTACAATTCCCACAGTGCAGTGCTGCATGACTCAATCTATTGAACTCTTCCAGCTCAGCAGCTCCCTCCTCTTGCTGATATAGCTGTTAACCAGTTCAGCACCGCAGAGCAGTAGCTACAGAGAGCAGCTGCAGCCAGTGTTTCTCTCACACTCATTCTTGGCCAAGCACCTGGCTACACGCATTAATGTACTGGAATGCAGAATTGATCGGGGGCCAAAGTCCAACAAGTACACAGCTATGAATACCTGCCAGCAGCTGTAGGTGTTTGCTACTAATTGATTTTGGTAGATTTGTATGTTTATGTAATATTTATATATCAATCCATCAAACCAATCAAGACAGAAATATAGGATCTGCCATAGCTGACTTGTTTTTGAAGTAATCCTCATCCTGGCTTGCTGAATAAATGAATAAGTCATAAAGCAAAGAAAAGGATGAACGTCCTAGAGCTTTAACATGTTTGATTTAAAGTGGATGTCAGGGAATATTTAAACAAAAAACAAAATTGTACATCTCTGAAATACACATTTGGGAAAACTCAAAGAGGCATTTGTCATAAAAATACATTGAATCCAATGAGTCCGTTCACATCTGTGTGTTGCTTTGCACTGTGTTGGTAAAAATGAGGCTTGTCTGATTTTCTTTGCATGTGATGCCCAATAAGATAATGAAAGTATGTTAAAAAATACAGCAGCTTCAGTATAAGTGATGAGACCTCATGTATACTGCAGCTCTAGAATGCTGCTTCTTCAGCAGTTTGAGCTTTTTTGTCTCTGCCTGTAACTCCCCTCTATGTTACGTGTCCATGTACACTATAGGCATTTTCAGGAGTTTACAGGCAGAAAAAAAGCATCACTTGTGCATTCAGGAGAGGAGCCTTGGAGCATATAAATGCTAAAAAGTTCCTTACAATTCCGTGCATTAACACTAAGCGCATTCCCCATCAAAGTGCTTGTAAACTCTTCCATATACTCAGTGAAGTGACTGGCCTCAAGTGGTGATACACAGAGATGAAACATACCCTCCTACATACAGTAACTTGTAGCTGTTTATCTGCAGTCTTCTCTACATCTGTTCAAAGTGCTGAAATTATTAAGCTTGTCTGACCTGTCAGAAAACAGGGGGTGGAGAGCTGAAATTACACACTGCAGAGCTCTGAGAGCCAATTATCAGGAAAAGACAATCCCCCCCCCCTACACAACACACAGGAAGAGAGCTGAGGCTGTCAATCTGCTGGTGGTCCCTCCCTTGTCACCCTTTTCTCTTGGTGTCAGGATAAACTTCTCAGAAGTGATTCATGCTGATAGCAGAGGAACAGGGCAGCAGATAGAAATGACATGTAGTGCTCTTAACTGGTTTCCGCCCAGCCTACTGTACAATGATAGCTGGACAGGACCGCTCTTGTTCTGGGAGGACATCATATGACATCCTCCCATTCTTGCCGCGCATGTGCAACTCCGGATTGGTGGTGAGCTGTGTCCCTCACCAGGGGTGGACTGACAACTCATGGTGCCCCCTGGCAATAGGGGATCATGGGGCCCCTTTGTTCTTGCCCAAACTTAAAAAAGCCTATGAAAAAGGTATCAGGGGCATCTCATGGGGCCCCCTACTGACCCCGGGCCCTCGGGCAGTGCCCAAGTTTCCAAATGGTCAGTCCGCCCCTGCCTCAGACGCATTACCGATCAGGATAACGAGCCAATGACGCTGGCTCTTTACCATGTAATCAACTGTGTCAAATCACAGATGATCACATGTAAACAAATACTAGTTATCAGCATTTCCTTCCTCATCGTTGTCACTGTCTGAGGAAAGGAAAGCCAATACCAGATTTTCCTGTCACAGGGGACATTTACACTGATAATCAGTGCCCTGATTATCAGTGCAGCCCCATCAGTGCAGCATATCAGTACCCATCAGTTCTACCTAGCAGTGCCCATCAGTGCCACCTTATCGGTGAAGCCTCATAATGTGTCTCTTCATCAGTGCCCATCAGTGCAGCTTATCAGTGCCCATCAATGCCGCCTCATCAGTGGCTATCAGTGCCACCTCGTCAGTGCAGTCTCATCAGTGCCCATCAAATGCAGCCTCATAAGTGCAGCCATTCAGTGCCCATCTGTGCAGCCTCATAAGTGCAGCCGTTCAGTGCCCATCAATGCAGCCTCATAAGTGCAGCCGTTCAGTGCCCATCAGTGCAGCTTATCAGCACCCATCAGTACAGCCCAGCGATGGACTGACCATCTGGAAACTCGGGCACTGCCCGAGGGCCCGGGGTCAGTAGGGGGCCCCATGAGATGCCCCTGGTACCTTTTTCATAGGCTTTTTTGAGTTTGGGCAAGGATACAGGGGCCCCATGATCCCCTATTGCCCGGGGGCCCCATGAGTTGTCAGTCCGCCCCTGGTACAGCCTATTAGGGGCCCATCAGTGCAGCTTATCAGTGCCCATCAATGCCGCCTCATCAGTGCTTATCAGTGCCACCTCGTCAGTGCAGTCTCATCAGTGCCCATCAATGCAGCCTCATAAGTGCAGCCATTCAGTGCCCATCAGTGCAGCTTACCAGCACCCATCAGTGCAGCCTATTAGTGCCCCTCGGTGCAGCCTCATTAGTGCACATCAGTGAAGAAGAGAAATTACTTACAGTATTTGCACAATTTTCTAACAGAAATGAAGAAAAGGTTGTTTTTGTTTTAATTTCGGTAGTTTTTTAGTTTGTTTAGCAAAAAAATAAAACACCCAGTGGTGATTAAACACCTGCAAAAGAAAGTTCTATCTGTCTCAAAATAAATGATAAAAATGTCATATGGGTACAATGTTGCATGACCGCACAATTGTCACTCAAAGTGTGGCAGCTGAAAGCTGAAAATTGGCCTGGGAGGAAGGGGGTGAAAGTGCCCGGCATTGAAGTGGTTAATTGAGACAAGTACACGCTATGCTTTGTTTATATTGTATGTCTGTTGTTTACAACCACTTTAATGCATTCTGGCCAATAGAATGTATTAATGCCAGATGCGGGAACACACATGCAAAATGCTGCTTTTTACTGCATTTTTGCTGCTGTTAAACTCCTGTAGAAGAACAAAGCATCAATAGTATACAGTGTGCATGAAGCCTAAACAATTCTGAGCTCCAGCCCTGCCCTGAGATCTGGAACGTAGTGGGCGGCACGCTGAGCACTGGGAAAAAAAATTGTATACCGCTGTATTAGGCCTCTTTTACCCAGGGAGGTAAAAACAGGTGGCTGAGCCAAGAATTGACTGCTCCCTGGCCGCCCAAGTGTAAAACACAGCTGGAGGAGGCTGTTCGTATGCCATGATGGCTTGTCAAGCTCAACCAATCAAAGCCAACAGCACCACGTTGTAACCACAAGCCAAATGCTTGGCAGCTGCAACACAGGGTGACCAGATTTTCACACTGAAATCCGGGGATACCCGACTGACCATGCCCACTTTTTTGGGGGTGGGACAGTGAAGGTAATAGCAGCATGCGAAGAGTGGCACACCAAGCGTTGGGTGTGCCAAATTCTGCTAACAATGGTTTATGAACCCCTGAGCCTACCTTGCTTAGGGTCAGGAATGCAGACCCAGGTGTGCACTGCAGGTCACCTTCATATGGAAAGTTAAGGTGCCAAAAAAATCCACATCCTTGTCTACTGCAACAAAGTATACACAAGCTGAGAGGGGAGGGGCTGGGAAGACCATATAGTATGGGTATGTGACATCATCAGTAACCCCGTACACAGTCGGGAGCACACGATTTTGGATTAACCGCTAGCCAAAAAAAGGCTATAGCGCGGTTGTCCATGGACGTCCTCCCAGAACGCGCCCTCCACGTGATTAGGTAAAAGGCCAACCACAGCGGCCTTTTACCACGTGATCAGCTGTGTCCAATGACACAGCAGATCACAAAGTTAATACAGTTGCCGCTTATCAGCAGGACTTTCCTCACGCTGTCACAGTATGAGGAAAGTACTGCCAATAACCAGCAAATGTGACAGGGGAGATCTGCACTGATAATCAGGGCACTGATTATCAGTGCCACCTGTCAGTGCCTCCAGTCAGTGCTGCCAGTCAGTGCCACCCGTCAGTGCCCCGCCTGTCAGTGCCCATCAGAACTGGTATCATTGCCCATCAGTGCCACCTATCAGTGCCCATCATTGCTGCATATCAGTGCATCATCAGTGCCTCCTCATCAATGCCCACCAGTGCCGCCTCATCAGTGCCAATCAGTGCTGTCTATCAGTGCAGCCTCATCAATGCACATCAGTGAAAGAGAAAAATTACCTGTTTGCAAAATTTTATATTAGAAACAAAGAAAAACTTTTTTTTCACATTTTTTGCTATTTTTTAGTTTATAGTGCAAAAAAAATAAAACACCTAGTGGAGAGTAAATACCACCAAAAGAAAGCTCTATTTGTGTGAAAAAAAATGATAAAAATGTCATATGGGTAAAGTGTTGCATGACTGCAAAATTGTCATTCAAAGTGCGACAGCGTTGAAAGCTGAAAATTGGCCTGGGCAGGAAGGGGGTGAAAGTGCCCTGTAGGCAAGTGGTTAAAGTCAACGGGACTCGATTCTGCATTGAAGTTAATGGTGAACCTATGCTTACAGCGGTTGTAAATCTCTGACATGAAATATGAACAAATATGCTTTGTTCCTCTGCTATCAGCATGAATTACTTCTGACAAGTTTTCCTGACACCAAGAGGTAAAAAAGGTGACATTAGAGGAAGCTTCAGAATGCAAGTGTACAATCCAAACGCACACGTTCCTGCGTTAAAAATGGCTGTGTGTATAAGTGGGTGCTGCAGCGACTGTTGGCTGGAACCGAACAGAATCAGCAAGGGAGAATGTCACCAGCACACCGAGGATCACCAATATGGGTCCAAACGTTTTAATGAACAATCACATAGTTACAGCAAGGCAACGTTTCGGAGTCTCGCAGGACCCCTTCATCAGGCATGTGACAATCCTCGGTGTGCTGGTGACATTCTCTCCTGTCGTCATCGTCATTGCCTGATGAAGGGGCCCCGCAAGACTCTGAAATGTTGCCTTGCTGTAACTATATGATCGTTCATTAAAACTTTTGATGATCCTCGGTGGACTGGTGACATTCTCCCTTATTGGAGGAAGCTTCAGCACACAGCCTGTGACTGACAGCCTCAGCTCTGTTCCTGTGTGCCATGTGAAGGGGGGTGTGCCTTTCATCCCCAATCAGCTCCCACTGAGCTCTACAGAGTGTAATTTCATCTCCCCTCCCCCTGCTTTCTGGAAGCTCCGACAAGCTGTATAAATTCAGCATTTTGAATGGATTTAGAAAAAAACTGCAGATAAACAGGTACAACTTATGTAGCAGGATGTTTTATCTCTGTGTCACCTGAGGCCAGTCACTTCACTGGGTGTATGTAAGGGTTTACAACCACTTTAATGCTAGTGACAGACCACATCATATATATTATACTTTTTGATCCTTGCTTTGTAGCACCCTGGAGCGGCGTGTGGCTATGTTCGTGAATTGACACACAGCGGATGCACAGACTGACAAATGTACAGGGACATGCAAACCCAGACTGTGTGCATTCAGGGCCATGCACCCACCCCTGTATACCTGTCAAACTCGGCCGTATGGCTGTGTCCGTACAGCCGCTGCAGAGTCCCTATCCTGAATCCCATCCTTGTTTCCTCTCAGTCGTCTTTATGAAAAACAATGTGTTGAACACAATACAACAAGCAGATTAAACCATCTATATCTGTCACAGATTGACCTATTTCCAAGAGCGATACAAACAAAACGCTGATTATCTTCCGCTCTTGCTGTCAAAGTACACAAAGTTCTAGGAGATCTCATAGAAATATACTTCTGATTTTATTTAGATGGAAATTTACCAGCTATAGGTACAAACTAGCAGATATTTGCTCGATAGCGGAGAACGTTCAGCGACCTGTACACAAAAACAACAAAAATGTGCGCTGGAGAAAAGAACGTTTCTGAGAAGTGATGTGTCCTCTCTACCAAAGATTTAGAATTCTGTCCAGCCACCTTACTAATTCATACACCTCTGCCAAACAGCACAGCCAGGGGGTGACACCACTTCCTCTGTTAGGGATCTTGCACACGGGTGGTTTGGCCCATACAGCGTAAAGATCTGATGATTTTGGATGCGGGGAGGAGGGGGGGAGTTACAAGTACAGCATGCAGCCTGCTACCAGCAGCCTGTTAAAATCAATGACAGGCTGTAATACCTGGCAGCTACAAACAGCTGGTTGCTGTTCCAAGAGGTCTTCCCTTATTCCCACAAATGAAGAAATTCCTTGTTCAATGCATACATCCCTGGACACACACAGCCCTAGATGCGAGTACCACTACTTAGGTTTCACCTAATCTTACATAATTTTGCTGAGAGATGTGGAAGCATTGATTTGTAAAGGGTCAGTAATAGCAGCCAGTGATCTCTAGCAGTCTCATATAATGTGTCTCAAGTCTATGACTGCCTGCTGAAGCATGTTTGTAGGCTCCAACAACTCATATTGTATGTTTGGTCATGTATGGTTTCTGACCATCTCCCATAGCATGTCTGCAATCTCTGACCATCTCCTATAGTCTGTCTGCACTCTCTGACCATCTCCTGTAACATGTCTGCAGTCTCAGACCATCTCCTGTAGCATATATTCAGTCTCTGACCATCTCTCGCAGTATGTCTGCAGCCTCTGACCATCTCCTGTAACATGCCTGCAGCCTCTGACCATCTCCTGTAGCATGTCTTCAGTCTCTGACCATCTCCTGTAGCAAGTCTTCAGTCTCTGACCATCTCCTGTAGCATGTCTTCAGTCTCTGAGCCTCTCTTGCAGCATGTCTTGTAGCCTCTGACTATCTCTGTAGCAAGTCTGCAGCCTCTGACCATTTCCTGTAGCATGTCTGCAGCCTATGACCATTTCCTGTAGCATGTCTTCACTCTCTGACCATTTCCTGTAGCATGTCTTCAGTCTCTGAGCATATGTTGCAACATGTCTGCAGTTTCTGAACATCTCCTGTAGCATGTCCGCAATCTCTTGTGTAGTGCCCCTCTAGTTGGTAAGGGGTAGCTAGATAGGTTTTTAGTTAGAGTCTGTATAACAGCCTGGGACGAGTTAGCCTGGGATGAGTCAGCCAGATAACTTTAAGTCAGGGCTGAGGGATCTGCAAGTCAGTTCCCGGATACCTCCCTTACTCTAGAGGCTTGAGAAGTTTCTAGAAGGCAGTGGGTGTGGGTGAGGAGGGGCTGATCTACATGTGTGAGTGATCTTGACAAATCTCCAAGCAGGAGGCTTGGCATGGGGTGAGGACAACCCTCACAAATGATCAAGCCTGATCAGCAGGAAGTGGTCAATCAGTGTTGCGTAGCAGATGGAGTGAGAGGCTGGAGTGTGAAGCCTGGGAGGGGGTCTACCTACAGGCAGATGCTAGAAAAGGGGACCTCCACTGTGCCACTGTCTACTGAACAGCAGGGAAGAAGGCAGCCCAGCAAAAGGCCTGAAGGTAGCCACCAACCCTTGGAGCTATCAGGAAAGGAC